AAATTACAAAGAAGACTCCTAAAACATGAAGAAAAAGAAAATTTAGGAATAAAATATGAGAATGAAGAATATCAATTTCAAGGACAACACATTAAATTAACAAAAGAAGAAAGAAAAATGTTATCAACACAAATAAATAAAGAAGATAGTATATGGCTAAGCTTATACCCAAAATTAGATAAAGAATATAGAAAAGAAACTAGATGGGAATTAATTCTATTATTAAATTACAAAGAGGGAGGAATTCCAAAGGACGAATTAATCTTGAAAGCCCTTTCATTATACTTAGAGGAAAGAAAAGAAAAAATACAATTCAGAAATATAATCAAAGAATTACAAACAGAATTAAGAAACCTCAGATAAAAGTATTTAAAGAAGTCACAAAAATCCAAGGCAACAATTACCAGCAAAATGGGAAAAGGAAATTTCTATTATGAAATAATGTTTAGACAAATACCAGGAGTGAAATATGAAAACTTTGGAAAAAATCATAGAACTTCAACAGAATTAATTAAAAAACTCTTTGGAGAAACTAGTCAAGAAGGAGTCAATACAAAAGAAAAGGAATATTATACAGAATACAGAAAAGGAAATGATAAACTATATTTGAAAATAAGAGCAGAAAGTATAAAAGGGAGGCATTTCCACCTTATCACACAACAACTCTGATAACCAATTTAATAAAAAATGAATCAAAAAACATATCATCTAGGAAATTTTGGGACAACACAGCATTATGAACTACAATTAAAGAAAGTTCTACATTTCACATACAGAAAAATGAAAAAGGTAGAAGATACCTTAGCAGATTATGGAATATTGGTTATAAAAGATCATGAAAATAACAAGGAAATTAGAGAACTAATCTACCAAGATGAATATTATGAAGGGCAAGAAATACTTTTAGATCTAGAAGAAGAAAATATACTAATCACTTCAGAAAAAAGTACACTTCTAGAAACAACAATAAGAACTATAATAAACATTCAAGATGAAAGACAACAACCATTACTAGAATGGATTGAAAAAATTAAAGAAAGAAAAGCTACAAAGAGAAGAAAAGGATATAAACTAATAGAAGAAAGTGCAGAAATACATTTTTATTTGTATAAGCAAAAGGGATACACAGGATATTACATTGCAGCAGTAACTGAAAGAAGAAATAAAGAAAATGAATTTACAAAAACATACCCACCATATATTGAAAAAGAAATTGGACAACAAAAATATGAAGAATTGAAGAAAATGATCAAAGAACCATTGTTAAAAATAAACACTGATGAATATATAGGAATAGAAATGATTGTATCTAATAACTACCAAAAGAAAATTAAAGACTGGATTGTTAACACTTTAAGAGAAAAGGAATTGTTATATTCAAAAATGAAAGAACCAAATGCAAGACAACTTATAAAACTTGAAAATTCTCACATTAAAATAGAACAAAAAATGGGAGAAAAACAAATTAAACTTACACAAGGAGAAGAAGATTTAATTAAAGGACTGACAAAAAACAAAAGAGAAACACAAGAATTTTATATTATAACAAAATCTGAATATCGAAGAACAGAATCAGATCTGACCCTATTGAAATTAGTGGAAATGATTTTACAAAAGGATGAAATGAAACAAAGAATGGGAGTGACAAAAAGGGAGGAAAGGTTAATACAATATTTGGAAAACATAGAAAGAGAAGTTGAATCAACATATAAGTAGATTACTTGCTAAAAACAGAAAGTTGATAATCAATAAGAAAAATAGATGAACGAAATAATATGATAATTTTTAAGAAAATGACTAAAGAACTTAAAGAACAACAAAGAACTGTAATCCAATATTTCTGGAATATAAGGATAAGAACAGCTAAAGAAATTCAAAAAAGAACAGAAATTAAATTATCAACCATATATTACGATTTACAAAAAATAGAAAAACATGGAAATAATCAATGAAAAAAAGGATCTGGAAGACCAAGAAAAATTAATAAGAAAGGATCAAGAATCATTGGACAAACTATAAGAAGGAGTCCATATGAAACAACCAAGAGCCTGGCAACTAAACTACAAGAGCAAGGAATACAAGTATCCCCGAGTACTGTAGGAAGGCACCTCCATAGAATGGGATATGAGAATTCACTTCCCTTAGCAACTCCTATGCTAACAGAAAGACATAAACAAATCAGAATAGAATGGACTCAGAGGCATCTTGAAGATAACTGGTCACAAACAATATTTACAGACGAAACTTCATTTCAAATGTTTCGAAATACAATCACAAGATGGTACAAGGGAAAGAGACCGATTTGCCCTATACCAAAAGAAAGAAAGAAGATTCATACATGGGGAGGAATTTCTGCAAAGGGAAGAACAAGACTTCATTGTTTTACTGAAAAAATGGATGCGAAATTATATGTTAATATTTTAAAAGAACATTTAAAAGAAATCAAACAAATCAAAGGAAAAGAAGGGAGATTCCAACAAGATAATGATCCCAAACATACAAGTAAGATAGCCAAAGAATTCATACAAGAAAAAATCACTGGATGTATAGAATGGCCATCAAACAGTCCAGATCTGAACCCAATAGAAAATATGTGGAACATGGTTAAAAGAAATGTAGAGCTAAGAAAGCCAAAGAATTTAGCAGATTTAGAGAGATTAATGATAGAAGAATGGGAAGAAATATCTGAAGAAAACATAAAAAATTTAGTACTCTCTATGGGAAATAGATGTAGAGAAATTATAGAAAAAAATGGAGAACGAATAAATTATTAAAATAATTTATAATTAACAAAACCATACTGAGAACTTAATTTGAAAATTTAAAAATAAAAAAATCAATTAAATTAAAATTTATAGAAAATTTTAAATAATTTTAAAATAATTTGAAGATCACTGTACATTAGAAAGAGTTCTCTATATATTCAATGTGTTTGCAGTAAAATATAATCAATAATATAAAAATCTTGAATAAAATTATTATGTATACTTTTGTATAATAATAATTTTAAAATATACAACACTTTTATTCAGGTATCGTGTAACCTGGTGAGGTAAGTAAGATTAAAAAAATCAGAAAATCAATAAAAATTGCTTATTGATAAAAACTTTATTGTAAGATTTCACGTTTTAATATTAGCTTAAAAATAACCATAATCGTAATAGATAAAGTTGATAATATTTTTATATAATAGCCTTAAATAAACGATTAACTTTAAGTCATTACTTTTTCAATTACCTACTTTCTGACGACGGAATAAACAACATTAACAATTTACGATATCTATATCTATAACGCCAGTAAAAAAATGATACCAACACATAAATGAAAAATAAACCCGAACCCACACCCACCGAAATATATAAGATGCGATGATTATCGGAATTTTGTGTTGCTGCATATTGCGTTACTGTGTAAATGCTAAGAGCCAATGGTCCTCCACAAATTTGAGAACCATTTCCTACACAACTTGAACCACAATCCCTCGGATTAAGTTCTGTTATATTAACATATGTATTATCGCAAAAACATTGAGTTCCTATTTCCAGTCCTGCATATTTAAAGTTATTTTGACGGCAGTAATCTATGCATATATCAACTGTCATGTTGTCAGTCTCTTTTTCCATACCCTTTAGAGCTCTAACGCCGCAATATGGACTATCTCTGATACACCCTAAATAGTTGGTAGCATTTTTGAGATTATTAATTATAAAAACTTTTTTATCTATAGGGGGAATTCCAGAAATAGGTAACTTATTCATATTAAATGTAATATTGTAAACCGAATAAGCTTCTTCTCCACCGCATATGTAAGAACTATTTCCAACGCAAGGAATGGTACAATTTGAGCTATCAGTCAAATCGTATGACTCAAGACCATTTTGATTCCCACATCGACATTCGTTTCCCTTTCTTAGAGCAGTAAAGTTGAACAGGTAATTAGCACAATAAATATCACATAGCCCCGGATCCATCAGAATTCCATCTCGGTATGGGTCGGGAAAGCCTATACTTTCAAGTCCCTTAAGGCTATCAGAAGTTGAATTTTTTTTAAAGACATAGCAACCCAGAGATCCAGTAATAGGTTCATATCTTTTAGTAAAGTTTCCCACACATTCCCCATTCGCTAGACTACCGGAAAGTAGATATAAAATGACAGATAAAAATTTCCTCTTTACCATGGAAAGCTATTACAGTATTGTTAAGAAACAGCTAAGAACTAAAAAGGAAATATATGAGTTATTTACGAAATATAAGTACGTTAAACAAATACTGTAAACGGATTCAGGGGCAATTGGCGGACAAAGATACCATACGGTGACACTATACCCATAAAAAGTTTCAAGTGTGTCATTAGAGGATAAAGTAGTGTGGCTAGGCATCATGTAATGATATACTAAACAGGTCAACTCTCGATAAATGTCTCATGTGCATTATACTAAAATAGTTTAATTAATGCACATCATTAAATGCATCAATTTCAATACTTTTAGTTAAATTAGTGGGGGACATTTATCGAGAGTCATATGTATGTCGATCTAATCATCGGTTAATTTACTGATGATTATAGCATATATACTGTATATGATATGCTATACATATGGTGGTACGGAGCGAAACTCGTATCTGTATGCTAAAATATCAAAAAAAGATTTTTTTATTTAATAAATACATTTTTTTTATTTAAATAAATAAATAAATATCTATAAAAATAAACTATTTTTTTATCATTTTTTATAAAAAATAAACTATTTTTAAACTATTTTTTATTTCTTTTTATATAAAATAAACAACAATTACAGGGTGATTCAAAATTTTTTGAAAAAAATAATTATTTTTTACTTTATAAATATTATATTAATTATAATTTT